TATAAGATATTTAGGAATAAATCTAACCAAAGAAGTTAAAGACCTCCACAAGGAAAACTACGAGAAGCTAAAAAAAGAAATTGAAAATGACACAAAAAAGAGGAAGGACGTCCCACAGTCCTGGATCAGAAGAATGAATATAATCAAAATGGCAATTCTACCCAAATTAATCTACAAACTTAATGCAATGCCAATCAAAGTACCAGACACATTCTTCACAGATCTAGAAAAGACAATCATAAAATTCGTCTGGAATCATAAAAGACTCCATATTGCCAAAACAATTTTACACAAGAAGAGTGGAATGGGCGGCATCTCATTTCCTTACCCAAAAATATACTACAAAGCTGTGGTCATCAAAACAGCATCATAATGACACAGAAACAGACATGTGGACCAATGGAACAGAATAGAATCCCCAGAAATAAATTCCCAAACATACAGTCAACTGATTTTTGACAAGGGGTACCAGTCAATCCAGTGGGAAAAGGAAAACCTCTTCAGTAAATGGTGCTGGAAAAACTGGATTTCCACTTATAGGAATATGAATCTGAACCCCTACCTCTCACCTGTGACAAAAATGAAGTCAAGGTGAATCAAGGATATAAATCTCAGACCGCAAACTATAAAACTGCTCCTGGAAAACACTGGAGTAACTCTGGGAGACATTGGTGTTGGGAAAGACTTCTTAAATAAGATCCCCAATGGACAGTTGATAATCCTCAAAATAGACAAGTGGGATTACATCAGACTAAGAAGTTTCTGCATGGCAAAAGACACAGTAGTGTGAATCGACAGCCCACAGGATGAGAAAATATTTTTGTAAATTATGCATCAGATTAGGGACTGATAACCAGAATACACAAGGAACTAAAGAAGCTGTTTGGAAAAAAGATGATCAACCCTATTAAAAGATGGGAAAAGGAGTTGAAAAAAAAAATCTCTAAAGATGACATATGAATAGCCAAAAGGCATATGAAAAAATGCTCAACATCCCTCATTGTAAAGGAAATGCAGATCAAAACAACAATGAGGTACCACCTAACCCCAGTCAGAATGTCTAAGATTAAAAAAAAACAAAAATGACAAGTGTTGGCGGGGTTGTGGTTTTAGGGGAACTCTTTTACAGTTCTGGTGGGAATGTAAGTTGGTCCATCCACCGTGGAGAACAATTTGGAGATTCCTCAAAAATCTACAAATAGTATTACCATATGACCCAGCAATCCCACTCCTCGGTATCTACCCAAAGGACAGAAGAATTCTTCATTGGAAAAGTGATTGCACATCCATGTTTATTGCTGCACTAGTCACAATTGCTAAGGCATGGAACCAACCCAAATGATTATGAACAGATGAATGGATTGGAAACTTGTTGCACGTATACTCTATGGGATACTGCTCAGTCATAAAAACCAACAAAAACCTGGCTTTTGACAGAAAGTGGATGAATATGGAAGATTTCCTGCTAAGTGAAGCAAGCCAGGCTATGAAGGAGAGACATTGTATATCCCCACTTAATATATACTGAGTGTCTGCACTCTGTGACTGAAACTGATTGACTAAAGTATATAGAAACACAGTAAATGGATGTGAATACCTGATACAGTGTGTGTGAAAGAGTAGAGTCTGAGGAAGGACTTTTAGAAGAAAAATAGAGACACAAAGCATTAATGGGACAAAGAAATGTGGTATTAACCATTGAAGATAATTTTATAGTTTTATCAACTGGACTAGGGAGAAATGTTCAAATGTTGGAATATTCACTTTGTAATCTAAATAACCTAATTGATTTTATGAAAGAAAATAAAATTAAAAAGTTTTTTTTTTTTTTTTTAAAGAGAAAGGATGTAGGTCTTCCTAAGCTCACAGATAGTCAATGATTTCATAGGACTTGTACACAGGCCTGTGAAGTCCAAGTTAGTGCCCCTTTCCTGCCTCCTGCTCCTGATTGTACTCCCTGGGCCAGACAAAGAGCTCATCTCCCTCCCACATGACAGCCATTAAGGTATTTGAGCCTCTCTCACCCTGTTCCCTCCCAACCCCAGGTCTTTGAAAGCTGTAGTGCTTGAATGTATGTGCAATACTACCAAGGAGGGCCAGTAAGCTAGGTCTACCACCACTTGGTAGATTCCTTCCTTGTTTCAGGTGAGTAACTCTGCTCTTATTATTTCAACTGCTAAAGTAAATGACAATGGAAACTCAGCCTGAGTACACAAAGCCAATTAGACCTCCTCAGTGACTTTAACCTTGCTTCATTTGCAAACATAAGCGAAACTTCATTTGAGCTTTGTTGGGGTAAATGCAAACAGAATTTAAGTTCATTCCATCAGAAATGGTCAATCAATTTATAATTAAATTTAGGCCTTTCTAATGGAATAGACCGAACAAGGTAGTTGTTTGACTGTAGCCTATTAATTATTTGCTTTACTTCTGCATTTGCTTCCTCCTTGCAGTCCCTCTGTGGAGCCCCTGGACCACTGCTGGTTTGGAGCTGCCTTATTCATAAATTGCTGTTTGGTCAAACAAACGCTTTAAAATGTTACTGTGCCTGTGTTTTTAATAAAAGTGATTAAACTACTGACTACTTACTTCTAGTGTGTTATGAATAGAAGCTACTTCCAGTACCCATGATGAATAGAAGCTGCTTCCAGTACCCATGCCTGTTCCTTGGTAAGATCTAGCGTGTTGACAAGGATTAACACTTGTCAGCACACGCACGTTAGTTTTCAAATGAAGAATCGTTTGGGTTGAGGGAAGAATGCTTTCCTTAGACCTGAGGTCAAGAGACCTTGCTTGTGCTTAGCACAGTTGCTGTTGGCCAGTTGGATATGGCCATTTTCCTTTGCTAAAAGTTTTGCTTTCGAAGTATTTTCCTTTTGCTTCAAATGTGTAAATCTGAGTCTGACCTAGGTGATCTCTAAGGTTCCTGTCCTATTCGCTCTGGCTTTAGTATCAAAATTTCTTAAACAAATGAAAAGGAAATTGAGTAAACAAAGGGAACATCATTCTCAAGTGTCTTTTGATTAAATAACCTTGTCATAGAGAAATCATAATGATTGATGTGATGGATTAATGTTACTTAGAAATCTTTGTATTGAATGTCTCTTGATAGGTATAGTTGTACAGGTCACTGTCCTTAAACAAGTTATTCATTGCTTTCAAGTAAAAAAAATCAATCATCTAGTCATTTTTAGGAAACAGAAAACCTTCTTTGCTCAAGAAAACATCATCTTTATATAATTATTCCATTTTATACTTCTTAGGCAGAAAAGTGTTTTTTTTTTTTTAATTTGAGAAGAGAGGGACAGAGTGAGAGAGAGAAAGAGAGAAGGAAAGTGAGAAAGCAAGCTTCCAGGTCCAAGACTTGAACTGCAGTTGACTATGTGAGTCCAGAGCCCTCAACCACCACGCCATCTGTGGTATCAAAGAAATATTTTTTAATAAAGTAATTATTTATTGGGGCCGACAGGTGATGAGCTGGTCAAGGGCGCTAGACTCCCACAAGGTGTACTGCCATTCGAATCCGGACCAGGCAGCATTTTTTCTCATTTTCTTTATCTCTCCCCCCATACTCTGTACCTCTCTGGTCAAATAAAATAAAATAAATATGTAAAGTTAAATGAAATAAAATATTTATTTAAAAAATAAAATATTTCTTTTCATTTGTTTGTTGTTGGTTTTTAAAAAATTTGCTATATGGTAAATACACGAGAGAGAGAGACAGAGAGAAGGAGACACCAGGATCATAACTAAATACATATTTGGCCATGTGGGAGACAACACACCACTGTCATTCCCCCAGAACAAGTACTAATGTTGTGATTCGGAGCAAGAGTTTTATGGCCAGCAGGTGATGTGGTGGGTCAGGTGTTGAATTCCCACATGGCTGACTGTGGTTTGAGTCCTGGACCTGGCAGATTGCTTTCTCACTTTCTCTCTCTCTTTTGTAAGTGTGTGTGCCCTGTAGCAAAAAACATACAGACCCAATATTAATAATCATAAATAAAATTTAATAATTCTTTAAAAAAAAAAGAATAAGAGTTTTGAATCCAGACTGCCTGTCTTGACTCTGCTATTTCCCAGTTGAACTATGTTGGGCATGTTACTGTACCTCGTTGTGCTCCAGTGTCCTCATGAAATTAGGAATGGATTAATCAGATAAATATGCAGTATTTAGAAAAGTTACAGGCACATAGTAGGTATCTAGTAAATGTTAATTATTGGCATCACTGTTTCAACACTCAGGATACAGATTTTTAACGGTTTTCTTCACTAGACAATGATATAGGTGGAATGAAAATCCCTATTCCTTTATATATTTAATCTGAGATAATCGAACACTTAGGCAATAGTTTTATTTTATAGAGTAGAATAGGAGGGTAACTGAAGTTAAATAACTTGTCCAAGGTTGTGTGGTTTGTACATCCATAATAGGGCTTTCATTTGAATTTGTCTAACTTGGAGAACCTTCCTTATTTATTTATTTATTTATTTTTCTTATAGAGCAGGCTCCAGTATGCTAGAGCTTGTGAAGGATAATAGACAGTCTGTTCTTTATTTCTAGGTAATTTTACAGTGTTATGGCCATATTGAACATGATTAAAGTACCAGTGAGTGACATTCAGGCTTACAGTTCAGTGGTGGCTAGCAAAGGTGAGTTACACAAAGCCAAATTCTTTCAGTGCTGTGCTGTAATTATACAACCACACACCAGTCTAGCCAGGCAAGGCTTAAACCTTCACTTTCAAATGTGCCACACTGTGAAAACAGGCATATACTAATAAAATTGTACAGATAACACCCTAGTACATGTGTGCACACATTCCTAAGTACATAGCTCGAACCCATGTGTACACATATGTACACACCTGCCATTCCCCTTACATACCTAGAGGGCAAGTCTACTGTAAAATGTATTCCCAAACCTCACTGGGGATTCCAGAATATGCCTCTCAGCTGCAAGATCATTCTTCCCTAGTGCAATGTAATAACAAACTTACCTTCATGTCTAATCTCTGGCACTTCTATTTACACCTTGTTTTCAGATGATAATTTGGCCTTTTGCTTTTACTCTGGCTGTGTGGATTTGAAATGGCAGAAAACAAAGGACCTAATTGTATGGCTGTGTTGATTTCTGAATGAGTGCCTGAGATCAGATCCAGATGCTTCAGGAAGACGGGGTGATGCCATCTGGCTTGTCAGCAGAGGAGCGAGTAGAATGTCTGGACACGCAGGGACTAAGTCTGCAAAGCATTTAGATCTGAGCAGAGGTGGTGATGTCTTTTTCTGTATAGTCCTGTAATGGGGCACAGACAAGGCCAGGACTTGAGCCTCGTGGTGTTAACAAATCAACATTGGCTGGTTGTGGTAACAAAAATATCCTTCCTGAATATAAAGGGCATAGCAGTTTGAGAGGAGGAGGGATGTTGATGAATCCTCTCATGAGAGGGAACAGTGGAATCAACTCTCCTTGTTATTTAGAAGTTAGGACAGAGCTCTGGGGAATGTGCTCCATTCCCATAATTAGTACTTTACGTGGAAGTGTCCAGAGAAAAGTCCCCCAGGGTAAGGAAGGGAAAATCCTGGAGGTAATATTGTTTGGGGAAGTTTGTCTCTGGCAATATGTGAAGTCCAGAAGCAGGATCTCCTAAGGTTTTTTTTTTTTTTTTTAATTTTATTTGTTTTTATAATAAAAAAAATTACTGAAAAAAACCCCCAATGTGGGTATCATTTACTGTGTGCTCACCACTTTTCCAAGAATATTACTAATATTTACACATCCTTATAATCAGATTAAGAAAGTTACAATAATTTACTCTGTATTTCACAATTAAACTAAGTAACAAAGATGTAGAATGATTTTTCTTTCTTAAAATATAATTTCTAAAATTATCATTGTATTTTAAAAATAGTTATTTATTTTTTATTATTTTAAAAATTTGAACAAAGGGAGGTAAAGAGAGAAAGTAAGCCACCAGGTCCAGGACTTGAACCACGGTTCTCCATGTGGTAGTCCAGCACCTTGACCACCATGTCACCAGCCAGCTCCAACAGTGATTTTCTAAAGGACATTCCTTATCAGATCATCAAATCATGCTCCCACACATAGTTAAACCCACATAACTGCTATGCTATGATGATCAGCCAGAGGCTGATGCTTATCTTCAAAGTGTCTTTCATCTTTGTCTAGGTCAATGGGTGGTTGTAGAAGCTCTTCTGCACACTTCATACTACCTTGAAAGGGTTATATGTGTTACTGATTTGATTTTGCATTCATTTTTTAAAATTTCAATTTCTTTAATACATTCAATCACATATGCCACTTAGCTTGCAAAGTGAATATTCCAACATATATCCATTTCTCACCAATCCAGTTGAGAATACTATACACATTATCTTCAACAGATAGTAACCCATTTCTTTGTGCCATAATGCCTTGTCTCTCTGTTTTTCTCCTTAATGTCCTTCCTCAGACTCTTCGCCTTCACCCACCCTCTTCTCCCATTGTATCTGGTATTTATAACTATATTCTATGTTTCTATATTCTCTATAGTCATTTAGTTTTGGAGCTACAATATCTCTCCTTCATAGCCTGGCTTGCTTCACTCGGCAGTAAATCTTTCATATTCATCCACTTTCTGTCAACAGCCACGGTCTTGCTTTTTTTCTTACTTTTTTTCTTAATGGCTGAGTAGTATTCCATAGAGTATATGTGACACAGTTTTTCAATCCGTTCATCTGTTCATGGGCATTTGGGTTGGTTCCATGTCTTAGCAATTGTGAATAGTGCCACAATAAACATGGATGTGTAAGCACTTTCCTGGTTAAGAATTCTCCTGTCCTTTGGGTAGATACCAAGGAGTGGGATTGCTGTATCGATCATATGGTAATTCTATTTGTAGATCTTTGAGGAATCTCCAAATTGTTCTCCATGGTGGCTGGACCAATTTACATTCATTCCCCT